TTCTCTGCGAAGAAAAAGAATATTTTATTAATAGACAACGATTCTTTTTCTCGTTCATTGTAGTGATCCCCAATATTCCAGCCAATGCCCGATGGGCACAGAATGGAGTGACCGTTGCTGGAGGCCATGGACAGGGCAGTGCCACCAATCAACTCAACTACCCTCAAGGTCTCTTCGTTGATGATGATCAAACGATGGTTATCGCTGACTTCTGGAATAATCGTATCATACAATGGAAGATGGGTGATACGAATGGACAAGTGGTAGCTGGTGGTAATGGCCTAGGAAATCGATTGAATCAATTGAATTGTCCAAGCGATATGTTGATCGACAAACAGACGGATAGTCTTATTATATGTGATCGAGAGAATCGACGAGTCGTACGATGGTCTCGTCGTAGTGGCACAACTCAAGGAGAAATCATAATCGACAATATCATGTGTGCAGGATTGGCCATGGATAATCAGAAATATCTCTACATCTCTGATACTGACAAACATAAAGTAAGACGATATCAAATAGGAGACAAGAATGGAACTCTCGTGGCTGGTAACAATGGCAATGGTGCTGGTCTCAATGAATTCGACTTTCCGGCCTACATCTTTGTCGATCAACAACAGGCTGTCTACGTGTCAGACAGAGACAATCATCGTGTGATGAAATGGAATAAAGGTGCAACAGAAGGAATTGTCGTCGCGGGAGGTCAAGGTAAAGGAAATACTCTGACACAATTATCTCATCCTCAAGGACTGCTTGTTGATACGTTGGGTACCATCTATGTAGCAGACTCGGTGAATCATCGAGTGATGCGTTGGGTTAATGGAGCAAAACAAGGCACTGTCATTGTGGGTGGAAATGGTGAAGGAAGAGGACCAAATCAGTTCAACTCTCTCAGAGGTTTGTTCTTCGATCGACAAGGCAATCTCTATGTTGTCGATAATGGAAATAATCGTGTTCAACGATTTTCAATCAAATGAACTCATCACGATGGAATATTTTTTTTCCTTTCAAATAAATTCACGTTGAATTGATGAAAGCAATGCTTATTGTATTCGCGCGCGCGCGACCAGGAACTACCCTGGTGGAGCCGTGGCGAGCGTAAGGCTCATGCACGCGTGGGAAGATCCACGTCATCCACATGCACCCATCCGATGTCATGTGTCAGTGAGTCTGGGGGCCCAGTCTTGTGCCACGAACACCAAAGCAGTTTCTGGCCGGGCTTTTAGGGACTACCCGGAAGTCCTTCATATAACGCGAACCTAACCTCAATGGACAGAACTCATCATATTTGATATTGAACGATGACGTCTAAAAGTACAAGAAAAAAAAATTAATTAATGACATATGTATAGAAAAGAAAAGAATGACTTACCCCGTGTTATCTTTTTCTTCACTGTTGAATGACTACAATTAAAAAAACATAGATAAAATGAGGACTTATCATCCTCCATATGATATAAAAGAAAAAAAAAGAAAATTAAAACTAATACCTACATTTTATTTTATGGTCTTGCTCGATGTTGAATTGTTCTATATCATGTTGTTGAAGTCATTCTAAAAAAGAATAAATGTGGAAACCTCGGACTTAAGTCCGAGAGTTATGTGTACTTCAAAAAGTGAATGAGATAAATCAGTCATCCTAGAATGCGTGGATATACAAATTAGCTTGGCAAACCCTTTCTATAAACACTTGAATTCTATTGACTACTGCTGAACCAATAGGATTTAGGGGGGAATACAACTCAGATTTGAACTCTTCGCCTTAATTTACCCTAAGAAAGTCGTTTTTTTTCTATAACTTGATTTCTATTGGTCAGTGCTTAACTAATAGGGCTTCGAAACAAGTGGAGTACAGATTCGAGTTCTCCAGCCCAGAAAACCTTCAAGCATCACCTCTTGTCGGACGATAGTGCTCTCATTTGTGGATTAGTTAGAGCGTGGACAAGAAGAGAACCAATTTCCGTTTAGTTATCTTTGTAACCGTTGAGTTAATCTTTTTGTTTCTTTATGTTTTATGTACCATTTTGTAGCTCCTAAAATTCTCTATCGAATGGTATATAATAGTTGGGGTTTTATTTGTCTATGATAGGAAACGTTTTTTACGAAAGCGGGGATAGGTCGATCTTCACGTAGGAAAGCATAGGGAAAAATGGGTATTTTTGCAATAACTCAGCAATGGCTCGGCCAATCATTCTCATCTTCGAACTCGATCGAGATATAGTTGAGACTAAACTGTGTAGAAAACTTCATCGCGATCGGACTCTCCTTTCGACAGTTATCGTGTAAACGGCCGGTCACACTGACCGATTCTAGAGTGTACTCACTTTTTGAGTACACAAAAATTTTGAACTCAGTTTTTTGCGTGAAGGAACTCTTTTTTCTGATAAAAGCCAACATTCATAAAAATTTCCTCTTTTCACAAAAGAACTAAATTAGATAGATGAGTCATCCTAGAATGTATGGACATGAAAATTGTCCTTTCAAACCTTACCTTTAAACATTTAATTTCTATTGGCTGCTGCTGAACCAATAGGATTTAGGAGCGAATACAGCTCACATTTGAACTCTTCATTTCGAGTTACCCTAAGAAAGTCGTTTTTCCTGTAACTTGATTTCTATTGGTCCCTGCTCAACCAATGGTATTTCAAGGCAAATGGATGACAGATTCGAGTTCTCC